TCTTATGTCCCGATTTTGGACATTGTGCTGTGTGAGATGTTATGTTATTTATTAAAAGTTACATCATACAACTTCTTATTATTACTGCTGAAGCATAAATTATTTATAAATTATAAGGTAGGATCCATTTGATACTGTAACATACTTTTGGTTTACATGAAGCAAAGGTATTTCCCCTTCTATGTATATATAAGTTGTTTGATGTCACGCCAACGTATGCAAATAAAGTACGTCAATTTCAACAAAAAGATTATTATTTTTTAAATAATCGTATAAAATTTCAAGATACTAAGGCCCTTGCATACTTGCATAGGTTGTCTTTGTTTGATGACGTCAGAAGCGAGAAATAGCATGCTCACGATTTTTACATTATACGTTAAAGATATATCCATATAATCATTTGTAATCAATTCAGCAAATTTTTAAACTGCTCTAAATATTGTCTTTTTACTGTCACAATTACTTGGCACAATCAACAAATAGTCACAAAATTAACATAACAGAAAATGATGAAAAAAGTTAAAATTTCGTATATTACTTTAATTTTACAGTTATTTGATGATTTTAATAAAAAGAAAGCGTTTATTTTACAAATTTACTGGATTGATAATAAGTGTCGTTTTATAGATATATCTTTTATCTTAACTTATTTTTTAAATTTCTCGGAGTAAAGATCTTACTCGAAAAATGGAGTGAGTCACTCGAATTAGAGTGACTTCTCATTCTTATAGAGTGAATTCTTTCACTCTATATCGTGGAGTGAAAAATTTCACTCCGTATCGTGGAGTTAATTTTGCTTCTATAAATGGAACGACAATTGTCACTTGAATTAAAGTAACTTTTCATTCGTATGGAATGAATTTTTATTCGTGAGCGTGAATGATTCGGAACCAACGCATGTAGCGTTATAACAGCGTTATAACAGCTATTCCATCAAGTAGTAGCATTGTGGTCAGCGAGTTTTTCCAAGCATTATTATAAGCGGGATTAATTATATGGGTCACCATTAAAAAGATTGCGAATATTTTAGTGTGACTGAATCCTTTATATCCCGGACAGTTGCAGCAGGCAGCCAACTGTTTGCTATCTCAAGGCCGGTACGTAGCAAAAGAGACGTGCGCACTTTTACGTTTTCATTCATATCACCGTTAATTTTTCGAATATTTTAATACGCTGTAAACTAGATTTTTGAAACTATGTACAATTTAATAAACTAATAAAAAATTAATTTTTTTTATTTAACAAAAGTATGTGCTCTCTTAATAAAGAGCATTATTATTTCGGGGATCTAAGAAATCAATTTCT